ATGATTTATTTTAATTTAAATTTGAAATATGAATTTGGTTAGTTATAATTAAATAAATTATTGAGTAAATGAATGAGTATTGTATTTTTAAATTATATTTTGCTAAAAATTAAATATTAATTAAAGTTTATATGTAAAAATTTAGGATGAGTGGAATTGTTATTATTATATATTAGAATGGTAGAATCTATGAAGGAAATGAAAGAGTGAGTTTTGAAGAAAGTAAGAAAGTAATTAAGATAAAGGGAGGATTGAGTTTTGAAGCTTTGAAGAGAAAAATTCATTTGAAACTTAATCTCAATCAGAATGAAGTTATTTTTAGAATAATATCTCGTCTTTTGATTGATGAAAATATTAGACAGTATACAGCTTTGGATATATGTGATGATGAAGATATTGATTACATGATAAGTGCATTTCAACAACAATCTAGTAGAAATGTTATTGAGTTATATGTAAATATTATTGTTGGTGGAAGTTCATCTGTGCCCTTACAGATGATGAATTTAAATTTATTACTTTCACAACAAAACGATGGAACTTATGTCAGTTGTCATTATAGTGAAGGTAAAAATAATTATGTTGTAATATCTTTTAGTAATATATTTAATTGTTGAAATTAAAAATGATAAATTTGTTGCAATAAAGGAGTTAGAAATGATGTTAATGAAGATAATGAAGACTCAGATTATGAGAGTTACAGTGATGAAGATGATGAAGTAGAAATTTCGTTAAGCAGTTCTTCTACTGATGTTGAAGACGTGTTTCATTCCAACTTAAATATACAAGTAACCGAAAATGTAGGAGGTAATGTAGAATAATTTTAAAAATTAGTTGTTTTTAGTTATTTATTTAAATATTAATGCCAAAGATTTATGGAAAATATAATGCAGGGGATACTGTAATTCTTTTCTAGAATGATACTTCACAGTATAAGTATATTAATTGAGAATATCTTGATCAAGAAATGAATGAAGAACATTGTCAAGAAGTGAATTCATGAGTTCAAGGAGATCCATTATTCATTGGCTTGTTATTTGACAGTAAAGAAGATGTGAATAATGCATTAAAACATTATTCAATGAAGATTCATCAAAGTTATTTTATAGTCAAGTCTAAACCAACATGTTTGTATGTTAAATACTTAAACCATAGCAGTGGTTGTCCATGGAGAATGAGGGCTTTATTGTTGAAGAATTCAAACAAGTGAAAAATTACTAGGTAGGGTGGTTCACATACATGTGTTAATATAAGAATTTCTCAAGATCATCAAAAGTTAGATTCTGATTTAATTTGTTCATGCATACTTGGTAAGACAACATTAATTTTGCTTTTTTTTAACATATTTATCCTCATTAACTAGCCCAATTTTATTTTATGTAGGAATGGTGAACGAAGAACCTTTTGTACATATTTCATTGATACAAAAGCGAATCTGTGCTTAGTTTGGATACAAATTTTCATATTAAAAAGCTTGGAAGGCAAAGAAAAAAGTCATTGTTAAAGTATTTGGTGATTGGCATGAATCATACGCTATGTTGTCACATTGGTTATAATACATGCAATTACATGCTCCTGGATCTGTTTATAAAATTGAAACAAAAGAGTATATGGGTGAGCATCAAGTGGATAACAGGTTTAAAGTATTTGAATGATTATTCTGGTCATTCAAACAATGTCATGAAGCTTTTAAATTCTACAAACCTATATTACAAGTGGATGGAACATTCTTATACGGTAAGTATTGTCATACATTGCTCATTGCAACAACTCAAAATAGGAATAATTGTGTCATTCCAATAGCTTTTGCAATTGTTGAAGGAGAAACCTTGTCAGTGTGAGAATGGTTCTTGGCATTGATTGGTTTGCATGTTACAAATAGATCAGGAATTTGTTTGATATCAGATAGGCATCAAAGTATCAAAGGGGCTGTGTCAAATCCACACATTTGGTGGTAACCTCCAAATGCGTATCATGTATATTGCATTCGTCATATTGCCAACAACTTTAATCACCGGTTTAAAAATATAGGATTGAAGAAAGACTTCATCAAATTGGGTATGAATTGTTTTGTTTTACCTAACTATTTGTCATGTTACATTTATTTCACATGGTTTTAATGTTGGTTATGTTATATATGTAGGCTATACACCATCGAAAGTCATACTTGAGCAAAAGTTAACTAGATTTCGTAATGAATCTGAAGATATACAAAGGTAGATTGACTGCATATCAAAAGAGAAATGAACATTATCTTACAATGACGAAGGACGACGTTATGGACACATGACCACAAATCTCTTAGAAGCAGTCAATAAGGTATTGAAAGGTTCTAGAAACCTGCCCATTATTGCACTAGTTAAAGCCACGTATGGACGATTGGTTGAATATTTTGTGAAGCGTGGAGAAGAGGCCATGTCTGACTTTCATAATGGAAGCATGTTTTGTCGTAAAGTCATGTTGCAAATTCAAAAAAATCAATAAGAAGCTTCATCACACCAAGTTCGTCGGTATGACATACAAAGAAAAAGTTTTGAGATTGAAGAAACATTTAATCCAATAACTCAAAGGGGTGGACACAAATGGACTGTTATCTTGGATAGGAGATATTGTGAATGTGGAAGACTCCAATCTTACCGAATTCCTTGTTCGCATGTGATAGCGGCCTATATAGCTGTGAGTACTGATTTTTGACAATATGTTGACCTAGTATATTCCCTGCAATATGTTGTAAATGCATACTCTCCACAGTGGTTCCCCCTTGAAAATGCATGCAACATTGTTACAAATAGTGAATGGAAAGTTGGTGTCTGATGTCGACAGAGCAAGAGGTAAGGGCCGACCAAAGTCAACTCATATTAGGAATGAAATGGATTAGGTTGAGTCACAAACAAGACAAAGGTGTTCCAAATGTAACGAAGTATGTCATAATTGACGCCATTGTCCTCAACAAAACAATGTTCGTTAAATATGTTGGCAACTTGTAGTTTTAACTTTAAATGCATACAATATGTGTTCCTTCATATTGTTTTAATGTTTATTTGGAATGTGATTTATCGTAATTATCACTTGATATGCAATGAAGATCAAAATCTTATATCAATGAAAAGAGGATATTGTTAATAACTAAAGTAAATTCCTTACAAGTTAGCAACAAGTAAAATTCCTTCTAAAATAACATACAATATATAATCATGTCATCCCTGGTCCCTCCGATGTGCTTGATGATCATGATCCTCTGGAGTCAAGATGCATTGTCTCTGTCTATCTCGAGCTCCTCGATGGGAGTTCCGACAAACCTCTCCTAAATTTAGTGCCGCACCAAACTCTACATTAAGATCAATACCTGACTCTATACTATGCATGAATGATGGTACAGGCTCAGCTTGGAGGTATAGGGCATCTGGAGTTAAAAGAGAATGGTGCTTATGAGGAGGTGTCATAAAGAAATCAGGTCGTGGGCTGTAATCTTCTGTTCCTGTAAATGGTGAAGATGGGGGTTGTGATGCCTGGTAGGTACCCTGTGATGAATGGAAATAAGTGGGGCCAGTCAGCAAATAAGTAGACTGAAAGGGAAATTGTGATGGTACAGGGAAGACACCATCAGGTCGCTTTGGCATAGGCGGGACAACCCACTCTACTGCCTGTACTTGTCTTCGTCGACGTTTCAAACCCCTTCCTTCTCTTTGTTGTTGCGGCTGGTCTATATGTAAGATTGGTTGGACAAGGTTACCACTCTGTACAGGAGGATCTGAAGATGACACAAGCTCTAATATGCGATCTTGCTCTTTTTTAAGTGATAAGAGCATCTCAGACAAGTCCTTTAATTCATGAAAGGTAAAGCAATCTTGTCCATCAGTGCTCAAGTAGTGCAATCTCTCCATCGCATCACCCTAAAATGACAAAAATGATTCCTTTTAAATGTTGCTAATAAAAAAACATAATAATGAAAAGAGTGAATCAAATTTCAACATACCGATAAAGTTGATATAGTTGCATCCCTGGTCATCCAACGACTAGTGCGATTAACATATCATCGCATGTATTCTGAATTTGAACTCAGTAAACCATACTAAGGCTCATTAGTCATCACCCAAAGTCGTGTATTCTCCCAAATCTCTAACATAGAACTAAACTTTGATGACTAATCTTCTCCAGTCTTTCCTCTAAGGGTAAGGTCATGTAACTGGTCAGGCTGGTAAGGAGCCATTGGTATATGTTGTACCATACCAAACTGACGTATTACTCGATCAGGTTGATGTCACTCACATACCTGAAAACATATAAGTGGCACCATCTCCCTCCATAAATCCATACCGTCTCTACATATAGGTGGAAGAATATTGATGAGTTCCATATTGTATGGCACCCATACAATCTATATCATGACATAAAAATATGATTAATAACGAAGCAAAGTTCTGTATTGTAAGCAAAACTAAAGTATAAAAGTAGACTATAATACCTCATCACATGCTAGACGATAAAAAATATATCTATAGTACTGCACATCTTTCTTCTCCTTTCTTATACCCTACGATAACCATATGCAAATAATTTTGACCATAAAAACATTAATTCAAACAAATAACATTATACATACACTCCTAATGCGCAGAAAAACTGACAATAACAACTTACCTAACACTGTACGGAAGATAGGGACGCGTATAAGAGGGATTTATAGGTGCTATTTGGGAAAATCTATCCCAAGCCCACATCACAATCAACGCAGCAAGTCCTCCAATAGCAACACGATCAATGTTGGTGGCCATGCATAGCTCTAGGTACAAATAACTTAGAATTGCAGAACCCCAACTATATTGATCGGTCAACTCAAAATCTTCAAGCAAAGGCAAGTATCTCACAGATACCCTACTGCTGGAGTGATCAGGAAGCATAAACCCTCCAATAAGCCTCAATATATATGCCCTAGCAAATCGAGTAATCTGTAGTGAAGTCTGATTATGCATGGCAATATGAGTGAAGTGCTCATCCAATCAGCTCATCTTCAAGAAACTCCCTACAAAATGCTCAGGTCCTAGTCTGATGCCTAGGTTGTCTTTCACAATCTGCGCCCAATCACCTCTAGTGGGTGCTATAACTGATCTATCATCTATACATAATCCTAAGAGGATAGCAACATCCTGAAGAGTAATAATACACTCTCCAAGGGGCATGTGAAAGGTGTGCGTCTTGGCCCTCCACCTCTCTACTAAAGCAGTAATCAATCCCACATCTAAGGGAAACTGGGACAAGTTTGTTACTCCAATAAAACCTGTTAACTCCAGATGTGGAATAATTTCTTCTGGAACACCCTCTATTCCACCAAGAATATTCTGACTCTTCCTGACCCTCAATATCGAGTGATCACGTCTATCCCCAAATATGTTCAGAAACATGAATACTCTGAAATCAAAGGAGTGATGGATCTTATGACCCGAGATTAATAATCCTACTTTGTCGTAAAGATGATACCATCTATACAACAAAATTACTATAACGAATAAAATTTCTATAATAACGCCTTTATATTTTACTAACATAATTAATATTACATCTTTTATAATAGTTAAACACATTTACAAACTAAATACTAGAACATTGTAATGACATGAATATATATTCAATGCAATATATTCTAAACATTAATATCAGATATAATCTCATCAATATCAATCTCATTATAAATTATAATTTATGTAATATCAATTTCATTTTAAAAATAAATATTTTTATAAAAATATTCTTAATACAATTTATATAAATAATGTTACATTATTTAAATAAAAAAACTCTAATTATTAACATAAAATTAATTTAAATTTTCATTTTTTCATGGATTCAATTTAAATTTACATAAATTGCATACAGTTTACAATTATGCAAATAATATTACGTTTTTAAAATTAAAAAATATATTATCTACATACAAATTTTTTTCTAATTTACATTTTTTAACAATTTATATTATTACTGAATATAATAATTTATATTTTCTTAATTTTAGTTAAATTCATATATAGGTGTAAAAATTATGTATTACAATACAACAGAAAATAAATAAATATTAAAATAATTTAATTAACTAATTTTTTATTATTCTTTATTTTTACAATTATATAACAAATATAATATATATAATATTAATAATATTATGCTAATATATTATATGAAATGAAATTTAAGCAAAAAATGTTTAATAGTTAATTATAATTTTACAGTTTAATTTACTACCCTACAACTACAACTAAATTCTTTATACAATATATTAATATCTACAAATAATATAAAAATATTTAAATTTGTAAAAAAAATTTACTAACCTCAATGAACTTTCAGGCCAATTATTTTAGTACTCACCACCCACTTAATCACCAACAGAAAATTTATAAACATTTAAAATTTAATTTTTATCATTTCTCAGATTTTGTAAATAACACAAATCAATTTAAAAATAGAATATCAATATACAAATACATATATACCTCTAAAATACGTGTAAATTTTGAAAATTTTGAGGTCAAAAATGCAAATCACAAATGAAATTTTTGGACAGGGGAATGAGATTTTCAGCAAGCGACCCAGGAAGGCGAAGAAGGCAAAACGAAAATGGGAATGGAGGAGGAGAAGAGGAAGAAGGGCAAGGACGGTTACTGTGGCCAGACACGTGTCAGCACATCATTGGTTTCGCCACTATTCTGGCGAAACACTCCTTCACCATAACAAATGCGAAATAGTTAGGATTATGTCACGTGTCCTATAAACTTCTTAGCTGTTCATTATGTGATTTTTTTTTTTTTGAATTTTTACTTGGTGACTTTCACAATTCGAGTGGCGAAACTGTTGTCACTACTGCCACATGTTGTTTTCCAATTATTTTCGCGCTGGTGGTGGCAAAACTTTGTTTTCATTTCGTCAGTCAAATGGCGAAACTAGTCGTAGTTTGACACATGCTTTTATCTTTAAGTTTTTCACTTTTTTTTTACAAAATAATATATAAAATAATTATAAATCAATTACTTTCCCCTGTCTTTTTGGCGAAACTCTTTGTCACGTTGGCAGATTCACTCCAAGACAGAGAAATAGTTTCAAAGTTAATATATTTTGATAAATAATTTTTTAAATTACAATATTAAAATAAAAAAGCCTCAAAATAATGATTGTGCATTTTAGTATTTGAAATTTAAAATCATTCATTTTAATTTTTTTTATATTCTATTTTTTACTGTTATTGGATGCTAGAACAGACTAAAGTAAATGCTATTATGTAAAAACAGAAATTAATAAGAGATTTTGAAAATCTCAAAAACCAAAATATACAACTCATAATCTTAAGAACTAAATTAAGAATTTACTCTTCTATTGCCATTTGATTATATCATACGCATGAATTGCATACCATTTGGCTAATATAAATATTGACATGTCCACAATGTCTAGGATTCTGAAAGCAAAATGGAAATATTGCCAATGACACAAGTTTTCTATATTTACCAAAGGATATTTTTATTGACAAAGAATGCTCCATATCAACAATGCCTATTTCCTTTGATAAGAGACTCTCTTCATTCTTTCCCTCCTAACTTACATTTGTTCACAACTACACAACAATGGCCTCTCGTTCTCACAGTCTTTGTCTTGCACTCATGTTGTTTTTCACTAACATTGCAGCTCAATCACAACAAACCAATGGAACAAACTTTTCATGCCCAGCTGATTCACCTCCTTCCTGTGAAACCTATGTAACATACATTGCTCAGTCTCCTAATTTCTTGAGTCTGACCAACATATCTAATATATTTGATACCAGCCCTTTATCCATTGCAAGAGCTAGTAACTTAGAGCAAGAGGATGACAAGCTGATTCCTGACCAAGTCTTACTGATACCTGTAACTTGTGGTTGCACTGGAACCCTCTCTTATGCCAATATCTCCTATGAGATCAATCAAGGCGATAGCTACTCCTTTGTTGCAACCACTTTATACGAGAATCTCACCAATTGGCATGCAGTGATGGACTTAAACCCTGGTCTAAGTCCAAATATGTTGCCAGTAGGCGTCAAAGTAATAGTTCCTTTATTCTGCAGGTGCCCTTCAAAGAACCAGTTGGACAAAGGGATACAGTACCTGATTACCTACGTGTGGCAGCCCAATGACAATGTTTCCCTTGTAAGTGCCAAGTTTGGTGCATCACTACAAAACATATTGACTGAAAACAACTATGGTCAAAAATTCACTTCTGCAACCAACCTTCCAGTTTTGATCCCAGTGACACACTTGCCAGATCTTGTTCAACCTCATTTGGATGTAAAAAAAAGGAAGCATTCATCTTTCAGTTATACTTGGTATTAGCCTGGGATGCACAGTTTTAACTGTAGTTTTAATGGTATTACTGGTGTATGTGTATTGTTTGAAAATGAAGAGTTTGAACAGGAGTGCTTCATCAGCTGAGACTGCGGATAAGCTACTTTCTGGTGTTTCAGGCTATCTAAGTAAGCCAACTGTGTATGAAATTGATGTGATCATAGAAGCTACCATGAGCCTCAGTGAGCAGTGCAAGATTGGTGAATCAGTGTACAAGGCAAATATAGAAGATCAGGTTTTGGCAGTAAAAAAAATCAAGGAAGATGCCTCGGAGGAGCTGAAAATTCTGCAGAAGTTGAATCCTGAAAATCTGGTGAAATTAATGGGTGTTTCATCAGACAATGATGGAAATTGCTTTGTGGTTTATGAATATGCTGAAAATGGGTCTCTTGATGACTGGCTATTCTCCAAGTCTTCTTCAGACACATCAAGCTCAATGGCTTCCCTTACTTGGTGTCAAAGGATAAGCATAGCTGTGGATGTTGCAATGGGTCTACAATACATGCATGAACATGCTTATCCAAAAATAGTCCACAAGGACATCACGAGTAGTAATATCCTTCTTGACTCAAACTTTAAGGCCAAGATAGCTAATTTTTCCATGGCCAGAACTTTTACTAACCCAATGATGCCAAAAATAGATGTCTTTGCTTTTGGGGTGGTGCTAATAGAAATAGAGTTGCTTACAGGAAGGAAAGCCATAACAACCAAAGAAAATGGCGAGGTGGTTATGCTGTGGAAGGACATTTGGAAGATCTTTGATCAAGAAGAGAATAGAGAGGAGATGCTCAAAAAATGGATGGACATTTTTTTTGAGCTTTTGTGGAGGTCTGTTTAATATTATGTATTGGTATAAGCTTTGTATCTTATTCTGCAATTAATGACTAACTTTTCTTATTTAGAAACTTTTGCTTCTCTGCACCTCTGGTCTGACTTTTTTGCTATGAAACTAATGCTACTGTGTACATTTACATTAGTGAAACATATCCTTTTGAATAAAAACTTTTAGCCCATAAAGCTCTGAACCTGACACATGGCACTTTTTGACGCATATGGCTTTTTCTGTTATCTATCTATCTTTGTATAATATTATATAATTATTTTTAAGTTTAATATTTTTTTTCTAAATTTTGAAAAAATTAAATCTTATAATTATTAATAAATATTTTATTATATAAAAAATAATATAATTTTCAAAATTTAAATTAATATTGAATTGAAAAATAAATACATAATATAAAATAATGACTTGTCTTAATATTGACTTGCTTTATTTAAATTTGAATTACAAAGATCTTGTTTGATAATTAGCAAGAAGACATAATAAAATAATTTATTTCATTCTATTTAAAATTTAGTTTGTTAAATTAACAAGAACTTGTCATTTTATCCTATTTCTTGTGATAGTTTAAATTTTTATCTTCAAAGTGAAAATGTAATAACTTATTCTTTTATCTAGTTCAAATTTTTATTAAAAAAAAAGTTATGAATTACCAAAACATAAATATTTGCTTCTTTTCCTTCTTACATACTTCATATCTTCCTTAATATTTTATAAAATTAATTAGTTATTAAATATAACTGTAATATTGTTTATAAAAATATTGTGTGAGCACTATTTTTAATGAAATATATTTTTAAGAAATAATTTTCATAAAATAATTTTTATTAAAAATATTGTAATTATTTTATATAATTTAATTTAATTTTTTATAATCTATTAAAAAATTAAAATTACTAGCCAAAAAATTAAAATTTAACTGTAAAACAATAATTTTAAAGAAAATTACTATGATTAATTTTTTTCAATATTATTTAAACACAAATAATTTTTAACATTTATGTATATTTCTATTGAAAAATAAAAAATTAATTTTAAAATTATAGTAATTTAAATAAAAAAAATTATTATTTTTAATATAATTTATGTATATTTTTATTTTTTATTTCAAATATTATATAGGTTGATATAATGTTATTTACTTTATTATTTTCATTCTCATATAAAATAAAATATAATAATATTTTATTATATT